TGGGCACCACCTGGTCCCAGACCCCTGAGTGGAGCATCTTTCCACTGTCGAGAGCTGTTCGGTATAAGATAGTCAGCATCAAATACCGGTATATGATTATATCGTCGGTGTCGTTGTGCGTGTTATCAAGCTCTTTCAGTCGTTCCCATTCTGCGTCGCTATCCTCCAGGGACGAGTTGTGAGCTACTACAATGGCCAGTCTCTCCAGAAGGCAATGGACATTTGCATAGCAATCTCGACTGGACAGTTCTTTCTCGCTGAAGTAATTCAGAAGATCTGAGCGATTCTTCTCCACCTTATCCCTAACTTGTCCAATAGACTTCCAGTGCTCCAGCATCATATCAGTTCCTTGCCTGCCGAACATGTCATTCTCTTCCGTAAAGCCTCGCATTTTTCTCATATCATCGGAGATGGTTTCATCAAGACCAAAGCTCTTGAGCAGAGTCCGAAGAGAATGCAGTGCGTTGGAGTGACAGGAACCCAGAGAAGTTTCATCCGTGCTCAGTTGTGAGCCGACTTCCACTTGACTCGAAGGATCTGGAGCTCTGGAATGATTTGGAGCGTGATTTTTCCACCCGCTGTCTTGTGGGCCTTCAGAAGGATGACAGTAGTCTTGCTGAGCAGAAGTAGGCGAGAATTGATATATTCGCGTCCTTTCTCTTCGAGCCAGCCCTGAACTTTAACCAGCTGTCTGTGAGTTCTGCGTCGGATTTCTTCCTGATTACCGGCTGATGAAGTAGCAAACCATTTCAGGAAAGCGGGAGGGCTATGAAGAAAGTTGATACAAACACGGAGCACCCTGTCGTCGCCCTGAATGGCCTTCAAAATCGGCTTCCGTTCCTTCGCCTTAATCGGAAAGGTGTCGTCGATAGCTTTCCTGACAGCATTCCGCCTTCGATCTTTTCTTCTTGCTTTTTCGAGGTTTCAGATGGTTCTGTCATGGCATCAATCTTTCTTCTCTGAGTCTGATGGCGAAGATCTGAGGGTGATGCCCGTTTTCGACCCCTTTCCCTCATCATGTAGCCGATCTGGAAGGAGAGATAATCCGAATAATCTTCCTCATCGTCGAAATCATCCATCCTCAGCGGCATGACATCCTTCCAATGATCACTAAATCCAGACCATTGTGGTTGTCCATGACCAATCGGCCATTCAGAATGAATCAGATTGTCAAAAGCCCCCAGACACAGTGCTGACCAATATTTTCCATTGAGTCCTACTGGCGTGAGAGGCAATTTAGATTCCAGGATCGAAGCTGGGAAGAGTGACGGAGCGTACATTGGTGTGGCAGCGAGAAAGAAGATGATTGGGCAGTAAGCGTCCACGTCATCAGGACCAACATGACTTGGAGAGGTATGATCTTTATAGTGGTTGCGGTCTCCCAGTCGTTTAATAAGTTAAAGCGGTGTGTTTCTTTGTAAAGGTTCAATGAGGTCGTGGCATCTTCGTGGATGAGAGTATCATGCCCTCTTCAAGACCGATCTCGCCGCGACAGTGTTTCATAGCCAAGCTCAGCTTTCCTGACGGTGGAGAAACTTCTGATTTGATTTTCCTCAAGCCGTCTTTTTGCTCCGTGGGGGTGTTAATGTCATTGCCTCCCAGGGTAACATATTGCGACTAAGCACCAATGATACCAAGGGGAGGGTGTTGCCGAAAGTCGAACTGAAACTGCCGTCCAAAATTACTGGATAAAGTGAATTGTTGTCAGTCATCTTGTCGGATTGGAAGTCCAATTCGACCTCGAGGCAAGGGGCCCGCGCAGGGGCCACTTACGGGCCATACTTACGATAATCGCGGCCTGCCCAACCTACGGTTGGAACCTCCCTTTTCCACCTTACGCAGAAGATCACATAGTTCAATTGACCTCCTTCGTCAACCCACGGTTCGAACCAATCGACCAGTATACCTGTGATAGGCATACCAACACATCTTGATATGAGCACCTGTCGCTGCTGCGGCTGCTATAATAGCTCCAACCTGCCCATACGCAGGAGCAGCAATAAGATCGTCCGATGGATAATCTGCAGTGACTGGCTGCAGGTGGTCTCTGTATTTTGGGTCATCAAAATTTGCTAGGCCAATTTTTTCAAAAAAAAACCCAACCCAGCTGGCAGCAGGATTAGCCTGGTACTTTGGCTGGGAGTTTTGAACCCATTGCTTCCAGGCCAAAAGCTTCTGAGTACAGGAATGCGGTAGCCAGGAGTAACATCTCTTCAGAGTTTTGCTGAGGTGTCTTATAATTCGAATGGTAACGGTGGTAAACCATGCCAAGTGACTGGATCTTTGTGCCGTCTCCTCATCATCGGTATCATCCTCTAAAATCAGGCTGCATGCTCCAAGTGTCTACACGTAGAATGGGTACCCATGCCCTAGATTCGAAGGACATATCTTGCCAATTCCAGTGCCACTCGGTCGCTTGATGCCATTTTCCGAGGGCACGTTTGTTGGTCTTCCTCCGTCCTTTTCCAGCTACCAAGATTCCCTGGAAGACTGTGGTAACGGCAAACGTAGTCGCGAGGCTTTCGACTGGAAGGGTGAAAAAGAATGTAATGGGATCCCAGTTGGTTTCATTGTCCTCAGCTTTCTTTTGCTCGTTGAGAAGATGCATCAAAGATCGAAGGAGGCAATCTGTTGAGTTATTATCCTCGGGACAGTTCGAGCCGTCGACGGTCATAATGGACGTCTAAACCCCAAGGCGTTATGGTGTGAAGAAGATGAATGTGCTTGGAGTGAAAACTTTCCCCTGGGGAGGTGTTCTAGATGAATCCGGTTTTGAGCCATGCCGCTAAGCACTTTATGTGAAATAGGCAACTGCTGCTGCGGCCTTTTGTGAAAGGCTTTAAGCGACCAGAAAACCCAGGCAATGTTGCTTATTTCCATCGTTTCCATCCCTCCTCCTTGCCTTTTCGGGGGCAATTCGTAGATCACTGCGCATTTTTATGCATGTGCCGTGCCACAACGCCCAAACACAAGATGCGGACATGCTTTTCGTGGGTCTTCGCTACGATTTGATAGGTGGCGAGCGAGTTCCCTTTTTCAGGAGTTCCAACCAACTTGCCTGCAAGCGCCTAACTTGCAGTATTTGGTGACTAACCACCACGACAGTCGGCTGCTCTGTGAGAGGCTTCGCCAAGAGTGCCATCATCAGTGAAACCGACCAATCCTCCAATCAAGTAGGGTTAGTACTACTCATGGCGCCCAAAATGGGACTAACCATCAAGTGCACATCTAAATGTGAGGCATAGCAGCGACCAGCGTGAAGAACTTTGGTCTTGTGAATGTTGGCCAAAGAGTATCAGCTGAATAAAGTCCTGTCTGAATTTGGACATCTTCAGATCATGGTAGAATTTTATCCCGGAGTGTCAACTCTCGAGTCAGAAGGTTACTCCAGCGCCAAATCTTGGAAGAACGGGATAACCAGCATCTGAACATAGCGCAGAAATTCTGCTCGGGGAGAGGATATGATCTTGGCCTCATATATCGATCAAAGCTCTATAGGTGAGTATGCCTTGGCCAACATCCACAGTCGCAACTAGGTGGAAGACTCTTTCATGTCTGAATGGGATGAACGTGGCACGCGAGTAGCGGTAGACTCAACCGTGCCACGGAGCCCATAGTGCCAAGCGTACCGAGACGTTGCGCAAGTCGGGATTACGACCGTCAATTTGCTCTGTAACGCTTCCGGCCGGAAGAAGGCAGTAATCCCATTCGTTCGGAGTATGGGCGTGCCAAGGTCGAGTCAGTTTCTTGGAGCACCGCTCCGCCTTGCTGGTGCGCCTTAAGATGGCGGTACACATTCGTGTTCATTAACGCAAATAGGTCGGGCCACCTCTCATGATGACTCTGGCTGACGTTTACGGGTATTACCAAACATCAGGTAGTGCCCACCCGTACCCATCGAGCCGATACACAGGATGTTGCCAATCTATATAGAGGTAGCCTGCCGCTGACATCTAGTCTATTAACACTCATGTTGCTCTCGTGCGTTTTACTGATGCCAACTTGCAAGAACACATTATGAGTCAGCGGGAAATATGTCACTCCGAACTCTCTTCCGTGGTTCGATACACGTCGTCCGATTCTTCCAGATGGCAACCCTCTCATTTACCACGTATACAATATGTTACGCTGCATGGTTACGAAGCCAGGAGTACTACAACGCTATAGGGTACCATGGCGTGTCAAATCAGATATTCCTTGACATGAAGGAAGCCGCTATGATCATAACAGTCAGTAACTATGTCCCCAGTGGTAGACTCTACAAGCAATGGACGACCCTGACATCGACTTCGGCAGTGCGCTGCCCTTGGTATCGAGATCTTCACCAACTCAGACTTTAATGAACCATCGGATCCGTGTTTGTCGATAATGAGCCTTGCTGCTTACTCGATGGGCCTCTGCTTTTACGCCACCATGCCGGCGGCTCAACAATACTTGGCGCAAAATGGTGTGTTGACGGACCTTGGTAACTATGCCGACTTTTCAACACTCGACACTGCGTTGTGGCGGACCTCATTGGCGTATGGAGTGATTACGTGGTACGTGTCTCTGTTTCTGGGGGGCATGGGAGTGGAAGCTTCTGACTATTGCTGTTCAGGGCCTCGAGCGTGGTGTTCGTACTGTCAACCGTTGCGGATCAAGCAGAAAGAGCCACTTTACAGAAGTCTGGCATCAGTGGTGTGGGACTGCATGCAATGGACCAAAAGATTCCTTCGCATGATCTCAAGTTGGACACTAGATCTCCTGTATGAACGAGATATGAATACCCTGGGAGTTAGGACACATCGATGTCATCCTTTGCTTCTCTCGAGTGCTATCCACATCAGCATGCTTGATTAGATTTAAGATACCCGCGCACTTTTACGGAACAAATCCAGAAATTTTGTTCGATCGTCCCACCGCCTTATTCCATTCTCCTTTGATAAGAGGTTTGGGTTCTTTGAAAGAGTTCGACGAGCTTTTTATGTCTGTTCAACTGCAGAAAAGGTTTGAACCCATGGCTAAACTGTCTCGTATTCGCCCGGAAAGACATGCGACAGAACCTTGCTCATCCGAAGTGAGGGCCAACTTGATTTTCTAGGAGCATGTCTGTACTAAACATTGCGTCAACAGCACGCGCCGGGAAAGCGTTACAGATATGCTGCTTGACTCGACTCCTCCTGCCCAGGCAGAAGAACTTTCGGTGCTGTCTCAACCTTCACTGGCATTACTCAATCGCTTTGACACGAAAGCTTTGGCATACTTTTCGTCATCATCGCAGGGTCCTTCCTAGCAAACACTCAATCCTCTCTTGCTAAGCTCCTGACGAGACTACATGGATCGATACTACCATGAAGTTGATAAGTACTTAAGCTGTACTAAAAGTGGAACTTTCCAATTTGAACACCTGAGAGTTGCTGCAGGAATGAACTATAGCGAGGTAAGGAAGATAACTTTTCACAATGACTAAAGCGGAGGTACGATAATTGCGATCGTTTGCTTCTAGATATCTGGCCGAGTCTAGACATATACATAACAGAAAATCAATAATATGTTTAGAGACTACTGTTAGCTACATCTTGACGGTGACTCAAGGCGTGAAGAGTCTGATTAGAACCTAAAATCATGGTTTTACGGTCACGATATGCTGCAATAGGAGCTACAGTTCTGTCATGAGGTTCAGAACGACCCCCAATAGTGCTTGTCATAATCGCCCTCAGGCTTCCAAAGCGGTGCCGGAGTATAGACTGGAATGGGGACATCGGCTACTGGATATTAGCAGAAAGCAGCGGGCGATTGCATTCAGTTTCGACTTACTTCCATACCCGGTATTTGGCAAGGCCCAAGTTGGTGACGGAGGAGCCGTCCAACCTGTTGGTGATGCCGTGATAGTATAAGTACTGGTGTAGGGTGCAGGTGACGCCTTAGCTGCAAGTGATTTGATACCGTTGCCCGTCCCATAAGAGTTATCTCCGGCGCCAAAGATGTTGCTAGTCTTATTGACAACACTGGTACCAGACTCTGTCCAGAGACTGAAGTTCTCCACAGTGACATTTGTAGCATATGTCAGGTCATTGGCGATCAGGTACAACGGTGGCCGCTTGGCACCATCAGCGACGGAGCCTAGGTTCCTGCTCTTAGCAATGGTCAATCTAGTATCGAAATACGACGTGAAGGCCTACCTGAGAAGTTGCGGAAGACGAAATTGCTCAGAGCAACAGCACCATTATCTGGCTCAAATGTGTTTTGCCAGTATTGGTTGACGTC